AGGACATTTTCACAGCACAACACTTATTGTAAATGTATATGGATACATTTTGTTGCAAAATCAGCAACCACTTTCATGGGCCTGTCAATCAATATGACGATACATTTATTCTTTTCAAGTCTTGTACCCAACAAGTGGGAATGTCTCTTTTATTTTATTTCTCTCGTTTATGTTTTTCTTGGAACGATCTCTCTGCAATCTGTCTCTTTAGAATTCAAAGTATCTACATTCACTATCATTTTGCTTTTTCTTCACTGATCCATCAGCTCCTTCAGCGAAAAATGACACTGTAATTAACATTTCTGTTCTCACTTCCTTGTGCACCTCTCTTCTCATACTGGTTTTTGGTCAGCTACGTGTAGGTGTGTCTTCTACAGTATTAGTTTTCATCTGGGGCCCTGTTGTAATGTGATACTGTATGTTTACACAGCCAGTTTCTAGGAAGTTTCTCCCCAGATTTTTCACAGCATCCTAACCTGATTATTCTATCTATCCAGCTCCGCCAGTTACATTGGGCTAATGTGTTTGTGACTTTGATTTGATTTATTTATTTTCCATATTTTGTGGTCTGCGGTAGTCAGTTTTTTTCCCATTCAACCTCATTGGGAAAAACTACTCATCTACCTCACAAATAGAAACGTTTCTTCTTTGAGTGCTGTGACTATGTGTACATAGAATGTACAATGTACTGTCTTTGACAGAAGTGGAATACATAGGAGCGCAGTGACGAATGTCATGAAAATTGTATATTTCCCGGTGCAGAAGGCATAAGACATAACAATTTCAAAGATGTTCACACACACACATATAAAAAAACCTGGCATAATATATATTATCAGCATGAATATAAAATAGATGAATTCTCTGCCACCACAGCAAGGATGGATTTTCAATGCCATGTTAGAGGATGGAAACTTTAAATAAAAGCCAATAGGGACACAATTGGAAAGGACCGTTGCTGCTGGAGCTCAATGTACTGCTTTGGCTAACAGCCTGTCAAATCTACAGAGCTATATAGCCTCTATGCCTAATTGTTTTTGTATACCACCCACAAATTGACTGCCTTGGTTCAGTCTTACTGCTCTCATCAACAGCATTTTCTGTGAGAAAGCTCTGATAAACCCACTGTACGCAACCTGCAGCACAAAACAGCAGGCAGACAATGTTAGCGACTAGCTGGTGAACATGGAGCATTTAACAGCTAAAGCACCTACAGACCCCAACTAATTTACGGGGGTCTGCAGTAAGTCATACAAACATCTTTGTTGTGCAGTATAATACAACGGCGGAACATGGCCCCCCATGTTCATGTTCCATGTTCAACTCTGTTTATGTGATGGCTCTTCTAGAGTGGTTGAGGTGTAGCTAAAATTTCTGCAGTGTGGAAATATTTGAAATTGGAAAACAAAAGAAGTCCAACAGCCACTTGCAATGCAAGAATTTCGCAAGGCGGTAGTAATTTCAAAAATATTCGCCTTAAGTGAAAAATCCGCCTGTATCTCACAGTGTAGCGGAGCAGGCAGAGCTGAGGGACAGAGCCGCTGCCAGCAGGAGTAGCTCAGTTCATATCTTTCATTAAATTTACTTTTTAGGTAAAATCGTTGGGATTAAAAGGTGGAATTATCTTCCCTCACGCTTTTCAGTTCATATGTTAAACTAATAGGCATCATTATGTAGTTATTTCAGCAAAATGTTTATTTTGCATTCATACCTCTGTAGTAAACCAGATTATTAGGGTTGTGTTTACCACGTAAAAGAGCTGCGTTCAATACTACCAATTTGATACACCCAACGGAATATAGTGCGTTCATTCAGGTAAGTCAGGCAAAGGCTGCACACCAAAGCAACACACATTGGAAGTTACTTTACTCAATAGTAAAACTGCCTATGGCAGCATCTAATCCAGGAGGCAGAGGCAGCAAAGCCAACGCAGTCCTGTGTTATGTCCCAAGGTCTAGGGGTGTCCTGGACGCAACAAAAGTGTAGCTTCCCACTGTTCCCATTCCCAAACAAGGCCAGAACACAGGAAATACAATTTAGCAGTATTATTGGCTTCAGAGATGAGCAGTGCCCAAAACAACCACCAAAACAAATAAACCTAAACTTTCCTAAACCAAAAACAGAAAGTAAATAAAAGACAAAGCTCTAAACTAGGCTTCTAATCTCAAAAACAGGAGAAAATAGGGTGCAAACAAAAAGGGCTTATAACAAAATATATACAACATAATGGCTAAAGCCAACAACAAAAAAGGTTGTCAACAACAATCAGAATTACGAAGCTAAGCTACACAGATTCATTTACAAGGTCTTCTCTAATCACAGCAGTTTCCTACTCACAACTAACAGGTATAACACACAGTACACAGGCTCAGGTTGGGAATGGCAGAGAGAGAGAGGAGTTCCTGTCTGTGGGGCTTAAGATGGCTGCTGTCATCCAGGTGACCAATCAGGAGACTCCAATCAGCTCAGCAGGACCAATCCAGTGTGTCCACCTGTTCTCCATTACCTGCATACACAAACACACACACTCTAAGGGAGGAGAGACAGCTGACATTGCAGGGGGAGATAAAAACAAACAAAATATGACCCCAGGGTCATAACACCTGGAATTAATAAGCAGCCATGTTGAGTTAGAAGGTCAGATCGTATCTCCCCAGGCTACATCCACTATGCTTTCGTTTTAAAACGTAGACCTTTTGCTGTTTTGACCTGCCTCCAGACTAAAATGGTGAATCCCAACACCTAAAACAGAGAAGTCTGAAAACACTGCTAACCCCGTATTTTTTTTGGGTGGGGGGGGGGGGGGGGGTTGTTTTTTTTTTAAACGGGGTAGCGAGGAAAAATGGAGGACTTTAAAAACAGGACTGATAAAAACGAAGACACTCACGTTTGGCTTCCTGATTGGGTCTTATAAGTCATGCAAAGCTTATCACAATGCTATTGACTTTAATAACTTTAATACTTATAAAAGTACTGCTCAAATTTAATTTTAAATTTAAATCTCTTCATGGCTAAGTGAGAAGATATATAATTTTGTAATTTGGGGGAACAGACCTTTTAAAATAATCAGGTTAGGCTGGAAAGAAACTTTGTGTGAAAATTCCGAGGAATTCAGATAAAAACTGGCTTAGAAAACATCAAAGTGTGTTCATTAAGCCAGTTTCTATCTGACTTCCTCACATTACAATAAGGGGTATGACTTGTAAACTTCCTGGACATTTTCTGTTTGAACAGTTGTGTAATGTAATCATTTATCAAGCAGATTAGACTGATAACGTATTGCCAGAGACAAAAAGCAGTTTCATACTGTGTGTTGCTCTCTACTTGCCCCAATAATGATAAACAGGGTAAAGGCAATTAAATACAGTGTGGGTATATGAATTTGAAAGGTAACCTAATACAACTCTTGATCCTTCACCTATATTTTTTAGTGTGCCAAATATTTAAAATGATATGAATATTAAAGAAGAAGATAGGAAAATGTGTGTTCATGCAAATATGCCATGGGTCTTATTGCTACAATTCAAACCTAAAAATTACATTTATACACTACTAAACAGCAAATACATTTAGTAAGAAAGGAATGCTGGCCAGATTATGCTTTTAGCAATGACTTTATTCTCATGGCAGAGGCTGTGAAGAGAACGAAGACAACGTTGTAGGATTGGTTGCGTGATTTGCCTGTGTTAGCAAAGTTGTCGAACTTGAGCAAAAGAGGTTTCAAGGACAGAGATTCAGCAGCTTGTTCTAAATCTTGAGTTGATGTTAGCAAACTTAATGTTAGTAGATAACATATTCAGACATTGGTAATGTTATCGTAAGTGCTCTTGTGTTGGTTGCTGTCTAGCTTTGTTTGAGCAACATTATGCAGGTGCTGGTGGAGAGCAGGCAACATAACCAGATTTAGTAGCCTCTATGGTAGAGGTGAAGAGACCGAAAAGAGGATGTTGACGGAGGAAGAAGATAAAATAGAGAGTTTTGTAAAATAAAAGGCTGCGAGACAGACAACATGCTGTCTCTTTCTGTGTGCACAGTCCGACTAGTCAGTAATATTGCTAGGTCTGGTGTTGTTGCACTTGCTTGATGTTTGGCTCCGTTAGCAACATTTGCAGCTTGCTACTTTTTGATTGTATTGTAATCTTGACAAATGCAGTGTGGATCCATTTCTATTTATGACAGTGGTGAATTACAATCTGAAATGATAGGGGCCCCAAATTGCACCAAACCTTATATAATGTTGCCTTACACATGATGAACGATTTCCAGTCTCATCCTCACAGTGAGGAACGCAGCTTAGTCATATTACATTGGTATCAGATTGTACTCGGTATCAGCAAGTACCCAAAGCCCAGGAATCAGTATTGGTATCTGACATGAAAAAGTGGTAGCCATCCCCATACATAACTGCTTTACTTCTTGTGAGCTGAAACACAGTCCAAAGTAAAGCTTTAGGGTGAACAACTTATCAGCTAATAAGTCTTATGTTTGTGTTTGATTTAGACCTCAACTTGCTGAAAACCATCAGCAACTGTAGACGATCGCTGTAGGATGGTTGGAAGGAATCTGTCGTTTACTGGAGAAGTGTTTACCTGAACCTGTTTGACTTCACCTCAACATGTCTTCACTCATTTGTTTAGTGTGGTTATATGAGCATACAAAAAGGAACTTCCAAGGAACCAGGAAAACATTTACAAATTATCACATGCTTTATGACGTAATAGATGAAAAGAAACCATTTTTTTCCTGCCGCATATACCCTAATGTATCTGGAGAATCACTGATTAGAGAAACTAAAATGTCAAAAACTCATACTAATCACTGAATTTAAATCTGCACGTGGAGAATGTGGCATATCTTGCAAACAGCAACACTGTAAACTATGATCAATTTTCAAAAAGGATAAGTGCAGTGAAATAATTACAGACAAGAGCTGGGTGTCTGTCTCCTCCTACATATGGATGAGGAGGGAGAGGTCTGGCTCATGGATATAAATACTAGCTTCAGACAGCAACAGGAACTGTCTCTTTACAGGACATTCCTCCAGACCTTAGGAAAGCAGCCTGAACCAGGTAAGTGCTGGAGATTACTGCAGTCACAGGAGGGAATTTGTGTTTACTGCTGCTAGATAAGCTCTCAACTGTATGACATGACTCCTTTCATCAGCACCACTAAGCTTGAGCACCTTGCTAATGCTTAATGCTCTAAGTGTTTTTATTTTTAGCTGATTTTATACTGTAGCACTTTGGGATTTGTTTAATATAAGTACATTACAAATAAAATGTATTATTTTTTAACAGAATATTTAATCATTTATTGTTTTTTTCCAATTTGTTTGAGTATGTTTTTTTTATTATTCAATCCTGTTCTTATCTGTTTTCAGCCTTCATAACCACAGACACAATGGCAGGTTAGTGTGTTGTCTGCTCAGGGATTCTTTTGCACAGCAAGAACACAAAAGGCATCATCATTCAGAGGATTGGTATTATCACAGGGCATGATTTATTCTGTCTACATCCACATTGTTTGAACATGTCAGCTCCAGTATTTGCTGTAATGTTTCCTCTAAGCACTGAAAGTTCATCAATTGATAATGTCTTTTTATCTACAGATGCAAGCTTTCAGCAGAAGTTCCTGGAAGCCCATAATGCCTACAGAGCGAAGCACAACACACCACCGTTGACTCTTAGCAGTGAGTTGACAGCTTCAGCTCAGAAATGGGCCGATCACCTGCTGTCAATCAAAACCCTGCAGCACAGTGACACTAAGGACGGAGAGAACGTCTACGCTAAGTCCAGCTCAGCAACCATTAACCCAACAGGTGGATTGCTGCTATCCCCTTTCAATTCCATCCTTTTATCAAATTCTTCTTTTTATCATCTGCCTCGTCATTTTATCATCTGCCTCGTCATTCAATCAGACTTTGCATTCGGTTCTTTATTTCATTCTAATTTCTGCTAAACCTTTACCATCACGTCATCCTTTTAATCGATCATGAACATGATCGATAAATATGAGACTGTGTCGTTTTTAAAAGAAGAAATGCTACTGTTCTTTGTTTATAGATTAAAAGTTCAATTACTAAGCAATAAGATTTGTTCTGGTGTGACCAATAGCTTAAATGGTGGCTAAAGTTAGCTAACTGGGTGGTGATGGAGCAGTGGATAAGACATATGCTTTTGGTGAGAGAGACCCAGCAAAGTGTGACCTGTCATTGATTAATCTGTTCCGCCACAGTTTCATAGGCTAATGAAATGAAACATTCTCAAAACTTCTCAATATAACATAAAAGGTCTCTAGCGTTGTTTTGCACCATTGCTTTGGCAAAGTACCTTATCAAATCGCAAAACACTGTGATTTACTATAACAAGTAGGCCTGTAATAAATAATAAATAAGATATTTAATCAATATAAATATGTTATTTGTGGATGTTAAAAAAGCAACTAAGTTATTTGAGTTTACTTACTCAACACTTTTACTTGAAAAAGACTTAAATGAGAAACTTTTTAAATGTAAATGTCTGTATTTGTATAGTGCCGTTCTAGTCTTTTTTGCATTCACCATTCACTCACATTTATACACTGGCGGAACAGCCGCCAGGGGCAATTCGGGGTTCAGTATCTTGCCCAAGGACACTTTGACATGTAGCTTGGGGGATCTGGGATTGAACCACCAACCTTCCAATTAACAACCAACCCACTCCACCTCCTGAGCCACAGCCGTCCCGTTTTATGTTGAGTTGTTTTTTATACCGGTAATTTTACTTGTACTTACGTAAAAGTTCTTCAAAGTAACACTACTTTTACTTAAGAAGAATATTTTTGTACTCTTTCCACCTCTTGACATATTTACCATTGTACATCGCTTTGGGTAAAAGTGTCAGCTAAATTAGTAAATGTAAATGTAACATAGCAAACTGAAAGATATTCCTGACTCAGTTCTTGGAATTTTTCTGATTCTTCTGGCACTACACAATGTTATCCTCATTGTTGTTGGGGTTTTTTTATTATAAGACTCCCTTCTTTGCTACTATCAATTCAAATGTCAATATCATGTTATTTTAATGCATTTTTTTTTCTATTTCATGTTTTAGGGGCAGAAGCTGTAGATTCATGGTACAGTGAGATCAAGGATTACAACTTTGAGAAACCTGGATTCCTCAGTGGGACTGGTAAAACACAATCCACATGATAACCAAATAGCCATAGATTTGAAATGTGAAGATGAGTAAGAAGGTTTATAAGAATGAAAAAGTTACAAATTTATGTTGCTCTGTAAAAATGTATTTTTGGGGGAAGATAAAAATCAAAGATAAACTTTGATCAACCTTATGTTGCTGTTTATTTGAATTTAGTTTCATAAAGTTTTAGATTTAGGTATAAAATATTATGCATTTAAGGCAAGTTAGAAAATCAGGATCAGACTTTAACCTCACTACAGTGCTTTGTTTCTTCCTGCAGGTCATTTTACTCAGGTGGTTTGGAAAGACAGCACTGAACTGGGTGTGGGTATGGCCACTAATGGCAACATGATCTTTGTGGTTGGGCAGTACCGGCCAGCTGGCAACATGAACATGCCGGGATACTTTGAGAAAAACGTCCTCCCCCTAGGTAACATTTTTGTACCACAATTTTGGATATTTTTTGTCTGAGAAGGTGATTGAGTACATTACCTCAAAAGGCTGCAGAAGTTAATTTTACGAGTTTGCAGATGCAAAGGAAAATTGTATTTTATTTAAATTTTGTGAATTTCATTGCCCAGACATGTAAATGTAGCATAATTGTGCATTCAAGTGATGTCAAGTTATGATTTTGTCAAATATTTTGCCAAATTTGGACTATGTCACACCAAAGAGTGGTGGAAGTATTAAAGTAAATTCACTCACACAAGTAAAGTTTTAATGAACTTGTAGATTACAGTCTTAAAAAACTTTTTATGTTGTTCAGTTAGCAAAACCATTTACCTAAATAACCAGTTTGTGTTAGTACTGACTTCACCCTCTGGGGTGCATGCAGTGACCGCTGGGGAGAAACCTTTATGTCTTTTTTATTAAACCTGATTCTACAACAGTAAGCTAAATGTCTTCTGCAGATGCTGAATTCTCAGTAATCAGATTTTTCTTCTCATGCAACCACTTCAGTCAGCTAGCTGGTGCAGGTTTTCAAATGTTTCCCGCAGCAACAGATTCTCTTGTTTTAGGTTTGTTATTTTAACACTTGCATGCCTCACCAGTATCTACTTTCACTTTCCAGCGTAAAGGCTGTGCATTTTACATGTGGCAGAGAGCTGGGTGGAGTGAGAAGAGGAATTCCTGCACACTGCTGTAAATAACCTGGACCATCCCTGCAACCCTCAACACACGACTGATTAATAGTCCATGTTGAGTCAGAATAATTTTAATTGTACTGAGGTTCAATATGAAGATTGTAAATCAATGTGGTTCTGGCTTTTTCAGTTTATATATGTGTTACTGAATATAAAAGAAAATCTAACCCATAACATAAAGGACTCAATTGAAAATAATGATGAAATGTTGCTCTTAGAATTAAGAATAAATGCCTTGCATAAAAGATGTGGTCTCAGCTCACAAATAATTTCCTGATGTTGTAGGAGGAAGTGAATATAGCTTTCTTCAGAAGGCTGTGTTGAGTATGTGGTGCAGGTAAAGATGGAGGTGGTTCAGGGATGGTGGAACCCACTGACTCAACAAAACACCAGTTATTGAGAGGGAGCCCACCTGACGACCCTGTAGACGTGCCTGCACTCTTACACTCACATTCATATTCTAACTATGGTCTTTTGTCTTTGGTAAGGCAGGTCAAGGGTCATGCATAGAATAGTTTTCATACCAGAGAGGTTGCTCACATGAGATGTCCCAGCTGACATCGGTCGAAATCCTCGGGATCTCAGGAAAATCATCCCGTTATCACAGGAAAACAACATTTGTTTCTTTACCACAGGACAAATGTAGCAATGCAATGCTGATGATTTGAGGACATCACAACCTTCAGCCGAATTGTCATGGATGCAATTATGGCACTGACAGCTTCACACACTGTGACGTATTTCACTGACTTCCCAACAACACCCCCCGTAATCCAACAGAAACAAACACAATTCTTGAAAATAGACGGCTTCCCAGGTGTAGGCCTAATAGGCGCAATTATTGGCAATCATATGACAATCAACTTTTTTTAATCTTTCATTTACAATGTGTATATCATAATGTATTGCCAAAATCCCCGTTGCAAGTGTCATGAGTCAGCTGTCAGCCTGACACGTAAGATTTAGTCCTACACTTCACTTAAATTAGGACTGGGATGCTTGATTACTAACTTTTAAGTGCAGCTTTAAGTCAAGAATGTTTTACTCTTAAGTCAATTCTTAGCAGGGTTCTTGTGAGTAATTCTGAGAAGCTTGATAAATACGGACCCATATCTTCTTATAACCCCCCTCCCACAGTCTTTGCATTCCCACATGCAACATAACACTGGAAAAACAAAGTGATGGGTTTTACTAGATATATCTTGGTAGTTGAAAATAATTTTGGCCAGTCCTTTAAACACACAGAGCACCATGTGTAATTTTTTTTATATACACCAAATTCTACAATTCTTCCACATTAAATATACCATGCTTTCGCCAGTTTTGGTGTAAATACATCCATGAAAATTTTTTTTACATTAAGTAATTTATATATAAATTATAAACAATTTATATATAAATTATTTATGATTTTACTTCAGGTACAGCCATATATTTCAGAAGTGGCAGGTAAACAAAACAGGTTCATGCATGGTGACAAGATAATTATCTTGTAGGAACAAGTTAGCACACAAGATAATTATGATCTTATGCGCACAAGTTCTCATCTTATTCCCACAAGATTATAAGTGCGCACAAGATAAAAAATATAATCTTATGGGACTTCAGGGTAGAGAACTGCTCAGGACTGTTTTCTTGATCCCGCTCCTGCTGATTTTGTGACCATTACCGTCCGCTCCCGCAACATGTGCATCCACTCCCACCCACACCTACAGCGAGACTGTGCAGTGAGCAAACCTCACTCTCGACACCTTAGGAGACGTACTGGTGACTTAGCTCCCTTGTCAGCGTGTTCGCCTCCTGTACGCGAGGTCGCCTGTTTGAGTCAGGCCCGTGCAGTACGTTCTAGTGAGCAGTCGCATGGGCTCTTTTTAATCTTCTTTTCAACTTCATTTGTTGACTCCATGTTATCAGCACTACTGCAGGACCCGCAGTCGATTTTTTAACCGTCCGCTCCCGCCCGCAGCACAGTTAAAACTGCTCGCTCCCACACGATTTGTGTTCCCAACCCCAATGCAGCTCTCTGCAGCAGGGGGATATCATCCACTTGATTTTTCAAACTGAGGCCCTGTTTTTATAACCGTGACTTTTTTTACGTGGTTCGGACAAGCAAAGGACAGCAGACTTTGTCCTCCGTCTTTTACGTTCAGATTAGTTCAGAAGGTGATCAGTGTGGGCAGGAAAACTAATTATGGTAGAACAAAGGTTTTAAAATACATCTGGGAAAAAGTAAGCCTATCCTGTAAGTACAGGAAGAATGCTAAAAAAAAAAATAAAGGTTTGCATTTGCTCTATTAAAGCCTGATTTTCAAGTATTTTTACATTTCAGGGCCTTAATGGACTTTTTAAAACTGATTTGACAAACTTAAAGGCAGTTTAAGCTTGCATAGCAGCGTTTCCCATAGGTTGTGAATTTACTTATAGTGGTATTAACAGGTGCCGCGGCACGTGATGGTGTGTTGTGAGACAGAATTTCAAAAATAAGTAGTCCTAAAAAAGTTTGACTCTGACTGTGTGTATTATGAACTGAGAAGTGCATGTCTTGTTAGGAAAAGTTTTATTTCTACTTGTATCTACCTGGGTGTAGCATCCATGTACCACCACTAAAGCACAAAACTGAATGCAAATCACTCAAAACATTACGTTACATCAATTACTGGCTGAAATACCCCTTTTATGTGGTCATAAAGACCTGTCATTCACATCATTCCCTGTCCTTGAATGTCATTACCCTCAACCTTTAACCAGCATTGACCATAACCAGATAATAAACATTTAAAGAGGTGAAGGCCAATAAATATCCTTGCTGTTACTCTTTTTTCACCTTTCTATCCTTCTGAGATCATGAACACACACACACACACACCTCACATGCGCATGCTTCAGTCTCTGTCATCACCTTTCCTAAGGTCATCTCTCAAAAACACAGGTGCATCAATGCACAAGTTCTTTATGCAGAGGTGTGAACTAACATTTCAGATTTAGTTAGATGGAAACATAGGCCCACGCGCACAGGGTGGCTTTGTTTTTGTCACTGTTTCTTTCTTAATCCTTGAAGTGTATATTTTAAGATTCTGCCAGGAACAGGCTGAAATAATGTCCCATGCAGTGGCGGATACAGAACGTCATTAATAGGTGGGCCTGGTGAATATATGGAGGAGCTAAATCCTTGTACTCATCCGCAAGTATGGCAAAATATTGCCCGTGCAGTTCAGTCTTTATTTTATGGAGTAGGATCGATGCTGCAGCTTCAAGCAGCTCATCCTGGATGTGGTGGCTCATGAAGGTGGCATTTCGGGGCAGCTTGTTCAGTCTATTTTCAATTTCTGGAGCATATTTTTACATGAACTTGAAGAGCTCTAAGAAATTACCTTTATTAAGTGCATCCTCGGTTTCTCTGTGGCCTCGGAGTGGTATTTCCAGCTTGGCACATAACATGGCCATGTCCAACACAAGTTTAACATGCTCCCTGTTTCGCTCCACAAATGACAGGGTGTCACCGTGCAGCTGGTTCACAACTGTCCCGCGGCTTTGCGGTGCATGACTGACCATGTATGATTTTTGCTTAGTTAGCGCCACAGCATGGGGCTTGCTTGCTTCATGTTTGTCGCAGGCTTCTCTGAGACGTTTCCAGTTCTTGTAGCCATCTTTAATAAAAGTAAACTCTGTGTGTATCTGCGGAAAATGTTTACACGCCTTGCGAAACACTGCATCCCGTTCTTTGCTGTATTCCATCCATTTGAATTTCTCATACCAGTTGCTGTTGAATGAGCATGGTTTTCCACTTATGACAGTAGCCGGAAATGTTGACAGCTTTGGCTGAGTGGCAGGTTCCTCCAATGCCGATAGATCCGATGGCGTTGTTTCTTTGGATGCTGGTGGCGGTCTGTGGCGGTGGAGTGCAGCGTCAGCCTTCATGCTAACATTAATGCTAGCATGACATGATGAAAATGCGGCAGTTTCACCGGCATTCCCAGAGCCACTAAGTGTCTCACAACCATCCTCCTCCTCAGGTATGACATGGTCCAAAAGTATGTCATCATCTAGACGTGTTTTTTTTTTAAAGTGTGTCAATGATAGCTTTTTAGCAAAAGCTTAGGTAGGTTGCCTCTGCTTCCTAAAGGTGCACTAAACTGCCACCAACTGTCGGTGCTAACAGGGTGTTGCATGGACTGACACATGATATGCTGACATAATATTTTTCTTTTGTAGCTATTTTTCAAAGCTTCTGTACATATTTTAAATTTTAAATTTCCTCAAGAAACTATTCAATTGAAATTATAATTAATTATTATTATTGTTAAAATTTAAAAAATAAATTAAATTTTTTATTGTTTTTATTAATCTGATTGGGTGAGTCACCTGTCAATCTGGGTGGGCACATGCCCATTTTTTTTTTGTTTTTTGTTTATTTTTAACCCTTTATTATACCTATTGTCAACCTGAAACCAAAATGGAAAAAAACAGAAACATCCGGAGAACAATTAGTACATTTTCCCATACAAATCTGACACAAGGAATTCAGTGAAATTGTTATTCTTAGGATTCAACTCAACTCAACTTTAGACCAAAATCAACAAAACAAACCCCAAAACAGTGAGAAATCTGATCGTCTTTTAAAGCATTGTCAGGGATACAGCAAGTGACTGAGGCAGAACAGAGGGGCCGGGAGGACGACCCGGAGGTTGGTCCAGGAAACCGACAGCATAGACGGAGCATATCAGGAGGCCAGACGGGGATCTAGCGGCGAAGGTGGATCCCCTTAGAAGGCCGGACAGGAAGCCAACGATGAAGATGGAGACCCTCTGGGGGCTAGGCAGGTGGCCAATGATGAGGATGGGAATCCTCTGGAAGCTGAGCAGGAGGCCGGTGGCGAAGGCAGAAACCCTCTGAATGCCGGTCAGGAGGGTGACGAAAAGGATGGAGACTAGACACGTATGACAGGGCAACTGGGCTGGAGACCAGCAAAGGAAAGATTAGATGGGGTTCACCACTCTGTGAAAGACTATGCTGCCAAATATTGCAATCATTTCAGAATAATGTTTCTCAATGTAAAATTGCAAAGTATCTGGAGATTTCATTGTCTGTAGTACATCATATCATAATGATTCAGAGAAACAGAAGAATCTCTGTACTCAAGGGACAAGGCTGAAAACCAATGTGCTATTAGATGGCTGTGGGCTTTGGGCCCTAAGACAGCACTGCATCAAAACCAGACAGGGTTCTTTAGTGGACATCTCTGCAC